GTATAGTATAGTATAGTATACACTATACTATACCATGCTATACTATACTATATTATACTATACTATACCATACGATACTATACTATATTTTACTATATTATACTCTTCTCTACTCTATTCTACTCTACTATACTATACAAAATTATATTATANNCTATACTATACTATACTGTACTATACGATATTATACGATAATATACGATACTATAGTATAGTCTAGTATAGTAGAATATAACTTGGTATCGTATAGTAGGTTTAGCATAGCATAGCATAGCTTAGTATAGTATAGTATAGTATAGCATAGTATAGTATAGTATAGTATAGTGTAGTATAGTATAGTATAGTGTAGCATAGAATAGTATAGTATCTAGTACTATTGCTACAGGACGCAGATCGACTCGGAGGACGAAAAGCCCGAGAAGTCGCATGGCCGAAGGTTGATCTGATGGCATGTTAGGGTGTGGGGTGCAGGGCGGCCCGAGCACAGCTACGCACTTTGAGCGCTCTCGAGCACGACACACTTGGCCCAGGACACAAAGGGACGCAGAGGACGAGTTCGAAGAAGTGCAGCCAGAGGCGAAGCCAGAAACTGTAGACCTGCCTACCTTTCCTCACATGGGTTGTGTTCTAAATTCGTGTCTGTGAGGTTATTTAGATTGACATTAATGCGCTTTGGGGGCATTCTTGTGGCTCTTCGCGATGAGGCGGCACGCAAGCAGAGCCACGAATAAACCATGTTGGCGCTAGGGAAACCGCTAGAAGGGCGCTAGGCATCTTTCGAACCGCATGCTCAAGATGAAGCTCTTGCGCAGCTCCGCCTCGTCATCCCAACCTTTTCGCGAACTGTGCCAACGCTTCACAGGTAGATTAAGATCAGTACTCGGTTTGCAACAGCCACATGCTTCAAAATCCATGCTCGGTACGTGGATTCGTGTGGGTTGTGCCAGCCAGGCGCTTCCAAGATGAACGCTCGCTATGTGGATTTGCGGGGTTTTCGGCAGAAACATGCCTCTAAGNNGCAGCTCTGCTTCCTTATCCGATTTCGCTTCCAGCCAACAGCAAGGCAATTTTGGGGCATTTATAAGACAGATATCACTACTACTACTACTACTACTACTACTACTACCGTCCAACAGAAGGAAGGACAGAGCATCCGGCATATGCGTAATCTACACCCTCAGCTCTAAAGCCGATTGCAATAGGACAGACCCTGTGGTTCGCCAAGCACTCGGAGCGCAAGCCTTGCCAACAGCAAGAAGGACGGAGTAGCAGCTCAGTTTTTGTTCAAAGCCCAGCCCAGAGCCGACTGCAGCAGGACAGACGGTCGCCACCCGAGACGCCCACAGAGGTGGCTCCGGACTCGGCATCCGAAGGTGTTCCAAAGGCTGCACCGAAGCCAACCAGCAGCAAAGATATCGCGCTGATGAATGTGCGGCAGCTGCAAGCAGAGTGTCGGCAGGAGGGCCTGCGAGTGCGCGGTAACAAGGCAGAGCTGCTGCGCCGACTGCGTGAGGCGCGAGGCCTCGCGCAGGAGGAGAAGGCAGCACTGCCAGCGATGCAGGATGAGGAGGAGTCCGCGCGAGGAGAGGAGGCGGCTGTTAAGCAGGAGGCGCCGCAAGAGAAACTCAGCGATAGAAAGGTAAAAGCCACAACTCCGTTCCTCCATTTTTACCGCGAAATCAAGAATACCCTGACTGCCAAGGGTTGCAGAGGCATGATGCGTGAGGCGTCCGCAAGGTTCAAGTCCTTGAATGACGAGGACCGGGCGCGCTACGAGAAGATGCAGGTAGAGGAGGAGAAGGCGCTGCAAGCGCAAAAGAAGCGGAAGCTCGTGGATGCCGTTCTCCAAGACACGCAGTGCACCAGCATGGGTCGGTGCTTTGTCAAATTCGTGGAACAGGCCAACCAGGAAGCCCAGGAAGTGGAGGCGAAGCTACTCCACGTGACCGGAACTGACAGAAACCACATCAAAGGCTTTTTTTGTGTGGACTGCGTGCTAGTCTACAGAGCCTTGGACCTTGCAGGTTGCCCTCAGTGTCGCCAAAGTGTCTGCCGAGTTACCAAGTGTTTGGCCGAGGATAAAGACGTTTACTTGGTGGATCGCCCTGGAATGCTGTTGCCAGCAGAGACGGATATACAGGATTTCCGGCTCAGACCTCCGGATATCATGGATCCGGACACTTTGGAATACTTTTTGCCTGAGATTCCTTCGAGCATCACCATCGAGGAAGAGGCGATGTTGCTCCTAGGATCTGCAGTCGACGAGATCGTGTCGTCGTTGTTTCATCGGGCACACCTGTTGAATCAACACCGTGGCAGAAAGGAGTTGAAAATGGATGATTTTAAACTCGCACTGACACTGGGCGACGAAAAGCAAATGCTGGACAGTCTGCGAAAATGCCAAAGAGAAGCCAAGGAGGAAGAGGAGAAAGAAGAGATTGAGAAAGCAGAAAAGAAGCGAGGGCCCAAGCCAAAAGCGGCAGCGAAGAGCAGAGGCCGCAAAGCGCAAAACGCGCCAGGCTCGAGGGCTTGGGAGCTTTTCCTCGATACTATTTTGGGAGTGCTACGAATCCTTCCGGGATAGGCCAAGCGGTAATCAGACACGTAAAGATGAAACCTCAAGAAAGAAGGCAGGGAGGCAGGTGAACAGATTAGTTGGCTGGGCACAACAGCCAGCGTCATGAAGAAGGAGAGGGCAAATAGACTAGCTTCCCGGGCAGCCGCTACTCTGTCACGGCAACAGGGCTTTTGACAGCATGAGGGAACCCCTCCAGCTCGAGTTGAGGCCTCTCGGAAAGCGTGGGCGGACAGGTCACGGCTGGAGGCGCCGGCAGGGCTGAATGTTTCTGATTTCATGGAAAGGTAAATAGACTAGCCTCCCTGGCAGCCGCCTAGTCTGTTTACCGTCTGCCTCCTTGTCCGACAGGGTCCGAGTGCTTGGGATCTTTTCCTCGATAATATTTTGGGAGTGCTAAGAATCCTTCCGGGATAAGCCAAGTGGTAAACAGACACGTAAAGATGAAACCTCAATAGAGAAGGCAGGGAGGCAGGTGAACAGACTAGTTTGCTGGGCACAAAAGCTAGTCTGTTTGCCGCTTGTTTCCTTCGAAAGGTTCTAGTAAGGCTTAGCGAATCCAAAAGCATTGTTAAGGGAGCTACTGGAAGCTTCATGACGAAAAAGGAGAGGGCAAATAGACCAGCCCTCTCTGTCACGGCAACAGGGCTTTTGACAGCATGAGGGAACCCCTCCAGCTCGAGTTGAGGCCTCTCGGAAAGCGTGGGCGGACAGGTCACGGCTGGAGGCGCCGGCAGGGCTGAATGTTTCTGATTTCATGGAAAGGTAAATAGACTAGCCTCCCTGGCAGCCGCCTAGTCTGTTTACCGCTTGGTTTGTCTGAGAAGTCCTAGCTAGACTTGGGAAACACGTAAAGATTAAACCTCAAGAGAGAAGGCAGGAGCAGGTGAACAGACTGGTTTGCTTGGCACAAAAGCTAGTCTGTTTACCGTTTGCCTCCTCGTTCGAAAGGGTCTAGTAAGGCTGGGCGAACCCAACAGCATTGTTCAGGGAGCTACTGGAAGCTTCATGACCAAGAACGAGAGCCGAACCCCTCCAGCCTGGAGTTGAGGCTTCTCCGAGGACGCGCGCAGACAGGTCATGGCTGAAGGCGTGGAAAGGGGTGAATGCCGGGGCGGGACTTAGTGAGACTCATGGACAGAGCGTGGATTGCCGATCTGCAAAGCTGGCTTGGCTCGTTTTTGTGTGCAAACAAAGGTAAGAAGCAAAAACATGCTGACATATCATGGTGACATATGAAGTGCCATATGAGAGGCTGACACATGAGAGGCTCAGCTTGAGACACTAGACGTCTTCCATCTAGGGGTAAGGGCTCGCCATCCAGCTTGCTACATGCCCGAGCGTCAGAGGCCAGAGTGGCGTCCGTTCGATGAGTACACACACGTGCTTGGCCAACGACCTGCGGGCGCGGCGGATGATCTAGAAAAGCGTTTTCAGCTTGCCTCCAAGGCCTGGATGGCAAGCTTTTCCAGCCGTGATGATGGTGCGTGCTTGGGCAAGCTGTCCACAGTATGGGAAGCGCACCAGAGGTTGAAGGCAAACATGGTCTGCATGGAGTGCACGGGCTGCCAAGCTGGAAAAGGTCGTCGCTTCCGGGCGGAGTGCTCGCTGGACCAGGGCGATGATACCGTGCGTTTGCAGATTCTCGTTGCTGGTGAGTGCAGTGGCCCAGCGCGTGCGCTGCGCGAGTCCTTGTCCGATCAGCCGCCTACCGTGGCCGAGCGAAGACGGTTGAAGATCGCCACTGCGCTTGTAGCAGCGGAAGGGGAAGAGGTGACTCCTTCCCATGTGGCGAGACGCATGGCAGCTCAGGGTCGCGCGCCAACCATGAATGCGCAAGCACTCCGCCACCAAGTGCGTGGTTTCGATCCAGCAAAGTTCTTGCGACCTCGTCGCCAGAATGCACCGCCGGTCACCGGGGTCGCAGATTGGCAGCGCTGCCTGGCGGAACATCGGGACGCAGATGCCGGCCTCCTTTGTTTCGTGGTGAGCCCGCCATCGGGGTCTTTCGTGGCCACTCTGCCGCCTATGCTGAACCACCTGGCAGCTGTGCATCAGGCCAACTACTTGGGCATGTGGACGCTCAGTGCCGATTGCGACTTGGCCCTAGCTGGTTTTGTCTCTCATAGTAAGGTCAAAAACCCACGCGTGTTTGGTTAAGCAAAACAACAGCAGAGGCACCTTCAGAGTCGAGGCTGGCAGTTGGGTGTACTTGATGGTTACAGCCAGCGTGCATCGTTTGCTGTCGGACAGATGGAGGCGCAGTGGTCTACCATTGTGTTTTGCTCGAGTTCCCAAGGAAACTCACGATGTATACAGGGTAACTTTACGAGAGCTTCAAAAAGAGCTGAAGCGACGGGACGTCCCCATGCCCTGTCAGATTCACACAGATCATTTCCCTGGACTACAGCAAGTGTGCCGCGAGACCTTCCCATCCTCCCGTCATTTGGCGGGGATGGAACACATGTTCCGCAATTTCGCTAAGAGCGAGATCAGGGATCGGGAGACTGGAGAGCCGCTCCGCGTACCGAGGCTTGCATCGCGGCCGTTGCCAGTGGTAATTGGGCACCTACACCGGCTGGCTCGCGTTCCGACGCTCAGCCTGTTCATGCTTCTGGCGTCCGAGTGGTTGCAGAGAATGACCCACGAGTGGCCGGACCCTGACTTCGCTGCGTATCTGAGAAGGCAGTACTTCCACGAAGGCCCCGTGAACGCGCAGATCTATGGCATCGAAACGGGGCTGAAAGCTTCTTTCTGGTATGGCCACGCCTCCAAAACCTTGGCAGGGCACCCGCCTAGCCAGCAACAGAGCGAGGCGTCCCACCGACAGTTCAAGAGGATCGTCGGCAAGTCCCCTAACGACAAGCTCCCAGCCGTGATTGAGCGCTGCAAAAGTGCTGTGGCTTTATGGTCCAGCGTCAGTACTTCAACCGAGGCGTCCTATGGCCTGGTGACACCAAGCGGGAATACCGGCGGAGTTCCGCTGTCCCCAGACTTATGGATGGTTCAGCGAGATGGTACAGGGCTTTGGCGGCATCACCTGCCGGGGTCTGGGACGGTCATTGTGCCAGCTGTCTGGCGGATCCATGACGATGTTGGCCGGAGGCCATCCTGCGTCGTTGAGGACAGCTTCAGCACTGGGCGCTGCTTCATCATGCGCACGGGAACACCAGGGCCGGTCGACTCAGAGCGTGCCCGGCAGATGATGGCCCAGCTTCGAACTCGCAACGTGCCACAGCTCAAAGCGCTCCTGGAGCAGCACGGCGTCTTGCTCCCGGTCGCGAATGAGTTGGCTCCGTGGAAGATTTCCTTCCCGTCCCTCGATCGCTTCTGGACAGAGCACTGCGTGGTGATCTATAGATCGAGAAGTGGCCAGCCGGCGTCCAGCTCCCAGGAGCAGATACTCGCAGGTGACGTCGTTCAGTGCACATGTTGGTACCACCTTCGCAAGGGCCACTGTCCTCACCAGTACTACGTGCAGGAGCGCCTGGGTCTGCGGGTACACAGCGCCGGCGTACTTCCTACAGCTGCGGCGGCTCGGGTATCTCTCGAAGATGAGGGGAGCTCCCGAGAATCGCGCAGGACCAAAGTTCGGAAGCGTCTCTCCAAGAAGAGGCGCCGTGCAGAGTATAGGCCTCGAGCTGTTTTGCCTCTGCAAGAGCTGCATGAAGAGAAGGAGGACGCGTCGGTGCCTGCGCCGAAGCGGCGTGCCAAAGTCCTGCCGGCCCAAAGAGCCGCGCGATAGTCTGTGCCCGCCTGGCAGACAAGGTCTGAGGCCAGGCTCAGGCTGGCACAGAGCAGGCAAAAAATCAACATTACGGGCCGATGGGAGAAAGTGGGCTTGAGTGCAGAGTGTGCGTAAGCCCCCACAACCTGGAACTCCACACATTCTACCCTAAGTCGTAAACTCTCGGATTTCTTCTGCCGGCCAGGGGAAGATGGACGGCTCGCGCTGCCCTAGAAAAAGGCCAGGCTCGGGCTGGGGCTGGTTACGGAGCATGCAAAACTTAAGACTGCAAGCAGATGGGAGATAGTGGGCTTGAGAGTGCAGCGTGTGCATACGACCCCACAACCTGCAACTCCACACGTTCTAAACCCTAAGCCCTAAACCCTAAACCCAACACTCTCAGATCTCAATCCGATGTGCTGTGCCGGCCAAGGAACTCGCTCTGCTTCTCTCGAAGTGGAAAGTGGCGTTGCGCGAGCACTGGTGTTGTTCATCTGCGAATCGCAGGCCAGGGTCGCTACTGCCAAGCTTGAGCAGCAACGGTTTTGCATGACAGGAGATCATCCCCACGAGAATGTCCATTCGAATGCTCCTGAGCTTTGCTTAAATGCACTGCGCCTCCCTAGTTCGCCACCAGAACCTGCTGGAGTCCGTGGAAAAAAAGTTGCAGCTTCACACTTGCGGCTCGCAGCTGCACGCAGTTTTGTCGGTACGTCCTCTGGAGCTCGCTAAAGCACTGGTTGCTGGCATCTCAGAGCATCCGATGCTCTGCACCCCCATACTATAATATGTCCGCGGTCGTGGTCGTNNTCGTCGTCGTCGTCGTCCTCGTCGTGGTCGTCCTTCGCTGCTTGTCCTTGTTACGCGTCTTTCCGCGTCCGCGTTATTATCGTGGATGCGTTCGCGTTCATACCGTCCTTGTCTTTCGCGTCATTACTAGATACTCTCACCCTCCTCCTCCTCCTGCTCACCATCATCATCATCATCGTTGTCGTCGTCGTGGTCATCATCATCATCGTCGTCATCATCATCATCATTAATTACTGTCATCATCTACATCATCATCATCATCATCTCCATCATCTTCGTCGTCACCATCTTCTCGTCGTCGTCATCGTCATCATTACCATCAACACCGCCACCCACCTTTGTCATCATTGCCACCCTTGTCGTCATGGGCATCATCACTATTATCATCACCTTCGTCTTCATCGATTCGTCAGGACAGGACAAACGGGTGAAGTTTATCAACGTTTGTTCGGCAATGTATCGAATTAAGATTTGCCGAATGGGTAGCTAAGTTCTTCACTGAGAGATTAACTGCCTTTTTGCTAATTGTGCAAAGCTGCGGGTCGTAAACAAGCCAAGGTTGAATACGCTATTAACAAAACGATAGGCTCGCAATATTCTTTGCATGTAAGAGCGTCTACGTCTTCCCTGCGATGGTCTGTCGCAGGTGGGGGTGAGCATATGTATGTATGTATATATATGTATGTATATATATATATATTTATTTATCTATTTATTTATTTATTTATGTTTGTATGTTTACACATTTCATCAACATACTCAATGGTATGCTAGCCATCATTGCAGTAAGCTTTTTTCATTCTGTTGCTTTGCCCGGTCACGCAGCCGTTCGGTCTGGTCCCGTAGACCGCGAGCTGCCTCCGTGTTCACCCTGGTTCACCCTCCTTTCCGCCTGAAGCTCAGAGTGAGCTTCGGAGGATCGGAGGCTTTGCGACATCTGTTTTTTGGGTTCCTTGTGTCAAGTCGACTCGCCTGGTGTCTACATCATACTCACACCAACTGCCCTTGCCTTTCGGGTCCTGCACTTTTCAGCCCAGGTGTCACTGTGTGAGGCACGCCGTGCGACTCGGAAGTCGGTGCGGGAGTCGGGCATTCAGCTAGCCTCTCGACATCTTGTCTCACTTGCATTTTAATTAAGTTCGGGTAGTACAGGCAGTGAAGTAACATCCAGCAAGCATTCTGCACTAGGTCATAGTTCAAGCCAGGTGAACGAACAAGGTTGGCAGAATCTCGTGGAAGATGGTGCAAATCGGATTTCGCGAAATCGGAAGTCCGAGACGGACTGCAGTGCACAAGCATCGAATCCAAAGACAAAACAACCCGCTGCAGCAGCAGCATGAACTGGCGCTGAACTCTACGTGGCAACAGTTTTACACACACTGTCGGCCGTACGCTTTCTTGTTGCTTCTGGGTATCAGAGACAGTGGTGGGGTTAGATTGAAAGCAGGCACCGGGTTTTATTCTGCCATTGTACGAGGGTAGGTGCACAAAGCAAAGCCTTGCGAACGTCTCTTGGAGCCTGAACCTGGAATGTTGTTCGATTATCAGCGATGTCAACTATCGTCTTTTACTGCCAGAAAAAACAGGAGGCATGTGCAAAAATACTAGCTGTGCAGTATGAGTAGTGTTGCAGGCGGCTGGGATCTGGCCTGGCGGCGTGTCACCTCGTAGGGTGGGTCCGCGGCTCAGCTTGCGCTTTCCGAGGACTGTCTGCGTGTTGGAGTTTCAGGCAGCTACGAGCCCATAGGCATGGCAGACAATTATGGAAAAGGCCTCGTCGCAAGTCAAAGAATCCAGTAACTCCTGGATATTGCAGGAATTACGTTCTGATCGCTTACCTGGCAGGTAAGAGGAGCAGAAAGGGAGGAAAGAAGGGAGAGGACAGAGCTTCAATGATCAGAAATATCAAGAAGATACACGATGATGCACGCTTGCACCTACGAGTTGTGCTCAGGACTATGATTCCGGTTACGGCAAGGGTTACGGCGCGGTACTCTGGCAGCTGTGCGCTGAAGTGCAGGGATGCAATCGTCTCCGCTGTTTCAGGGGCGCCCCGAAACAATGGAAATATGGGCGGACAGAGTGCAGGAGACAGCTTTTGCATGATACGGCAAATAATCGGCCAGCCACGACAGCATCTCTTAACTGCAAGGAGGAAAGCCTGCCAAGGATGCAGCACAGGCCTGTCGTGCCTGCTGGCTCGTGGAAGTTGTGCTACCCTTATGTGTGAGGTCCATCACTACCCACCGAAGGAGATGGCCGCAGACGTCGGTGCTTCGCACGCAGATGCACGCAGCATCATCCGGGCATGCACGTTGGCACTGCTCAGCAACTTTCAAACGCAGCAGGTTATCCGGTTCGGGGCGGGCAGACGCTTTTGATCGACTGCCTGGCTGTTTTAGCCCGGTTTTGCAGGAGACCTTCTCGGGCGCGTGCCGGTGTTTAAGAGATTGTTCGCCAGGCATATTTTCCTTGGGAGGCTTCTGAGGCAGGACGGAAATTAATCTTTATAGCGGTTCAGACTTTGGGCAAAGAGCATGCCATTGTGCAGGCAGACATCGAGAGGGAGTTTTCGAAGTTCTGCCGCGTGAAGCGAGTTCACTTGGTCGTCCTTGCCCTTGCATCGCAACCCTTTTGGGTCGCGCTAGAAGCAAAATAGTCTTTCCCTCAAAAGGTTGACAAGTCTTCCCGGAAGCCTCGTTGCTTCGGCTTCGTGAAATTCCTCAGCAAGGCAAGCGAGCTCTTCTATCCCTGTTCACGAAGTCGCTGATAGACAAAATGCCGTTCCTCCCAAAGCAGGCTGACGCGGAAGAAGCCCTTAGGGCCACGACACAAGGAGGGCGGCGACCGGTTGCTCCTTGCAAGACAAGTCGCTTCGGGGGTCCGTTGACCCCAGGACTGGTACAGCTGCCAGATACTCGAGGCCATGTGTGGCACCTCAAGGCAGCAAGAGCCCTGACAAATTTTCTTTTTTCGGCTTGCGACCGGAGTCGCCAGGCTGAGTGGACGAAGTCTGGCGACATGGTGGTAGACGACTCCGAAGCGGAGCAGGAGGTGCTCTGGGAATCTGGGCTTTGTCCTCTTATCTTTGAATCTGCTCAGCCCTCGCTTGACCTCTGTTTGTGTGTCTGTGTAGCACCAGCCCTAGCCTGAGCTTCCAAATTCCATTCCTGTCCTGTTTTTCGACCACATTCAAGCCCTGCTCAGCAATACAGAGCCGACAGCCCCCATGCAGTTGCATGGGCCAAGACAGGCCTCAGGCTCCAGTCATGTGGGTCACTGCACTTGAAGTGCTGCACTGCCACCACCGCCATTTCTCACAGCCCTACTGGCATCTCCCAACACCCACACACAGCCCAAATGCCCCTCCGTTTGCAGCAGAGAGCAGGGCTTAGTTTCTCGGGTGCCGCAGAACCACTACCGTATATACTAGTACCTTATACGAATACATGGCCCATGATGCAACTGGCACCGCTAGGCTTCAAGTGTGCCGCTTGCCGAGCATTTGGCAGGTTGCAAAGAGGAAGGAAGAGAGGCGAAGCCGCACCGACACTGCAACCCCTGGAGCGGCGCCGCGCATGGAGCTCACTTTTGTCTCAAGGGGGTGGAGACCTTCTTTTCGGTTTCTGAGTCGTTGGTGTGCGAAATTTGTCTGTGTGTGTTGTCTTCGGCCACCTCAGGCACCAACTCGGGCAAAGGAAGCGCACCGCCGCCCAAGGCATGGGCCTTCTTACTTCGACAGGCTCAGAGCAGAAGTGCCCCTGGCGGCTCAGGGAGCTCTTCATCCTGGGGTTCCGGCGCCGCTGCCGCCGCTGCAGACCCGCTATCCACCGCAGGCCTCCGGCCTTGGATCAGAATTTTCTCTCATTGAGTCCTTGATCCTAGATCCAAGAGCCAAAGAGCATCGGACAATTTGTGACGTAGCACTGGGAGGGTTTGAGTACAGGAGGGCCTTGGGGAGAATAACTAGTGCTGTCGCTGCCATCATCCCTGTAAGAGGCTGCGATAGGCATGCCACCGCCGCCGCCGGCTGCCCTTCAGCCTCCATCTCAATGCATGTATTACAGGGCTTGAAGCTGTGGAAGCAATGCACATTGTTTGGAATCTCAGCTGCAGAGCTCAACCGGAAGTGGGAAAAGTTGAAGGCATGTCAGCTGACAGCGGCCTGGCCTTGCCCAGGCCCGCTAGTTCGATGGACGCGCCCAGGA